TGGTTTGTCAATTTTATTAACCTTCTCAAAGAACCAGCTTTTTTGTTGCATTTCTTTTTGTTTGTTTGTTTGTTTGTTTTCAATTTCATTTAATTCTACTCTTAATTTTGATATTTCTTTCCTTCTGCTGACTATAGGCTTCATTTGTTCTTCCTTTTCTGGTTTTTTAGGTTATTTATTTGGGCTCATTCTTGTTTTTGGAGATACGCCTATAATGATATGAACTTTCCTCTTATGACCACTTTTGCCATGTTCCAATATTTTTGATATGTGTACTATCATTGTCATTCATTTCTATCTCTTGATTTCTCTTTTTATTTCTTCTCTGACCCAGTTATTCTTCAGTAGCATGCTATTTAATCTCCATGTATTTGTGGTTCTTCCTGCTTTCTTTCTGCAGTTGATCTCTAGTTTCAAAGCATTATGATCAGCGAATATGGTTAGTATTATTTCAGCCCTCTTATATTTGTTGAGGCTATCTCTATTCCGTTCATTTTGAATGTTTCAGTTTCTTTGCTCTGCTCATCTAGGTGTTTTTTTCAATTCCTGATATTGATGATATGACTTGTGTTCGAATTCACTGAGTTTTTTTCAGAAGTACCATCCTGAATTCTCTGTCTTTGAAGTCACATATTTCTGTGTCTGTAAGCTTATTTTCTGGAGATTTTTCTCTTTCTTTCTGCGATGCTTTGTCACCTTGGTTGTTCATGGTGTTTAATGTTCTATTTCTCTGCCTGGGCATTAATGAAAGTGTATTCTACTGTTTTTCCAGAAAGACTTATTATATAAAGGTCTCTATTTAGCCTGTTGCAAAGAAGGAGTTTTTCTTTTGGTTTCCTATAGGTGGCGTCTCAGCTTCTTGGATCCCTGCTTTATATAAAATCTTAATAACACTTTTTAAATTTTCTTGTAGATATTTAATCACGCTCGCTACCCTTAGTTTCAGTCCCTGTCAGTGTCAGCGACAGTCTCAGCAGCATTTGTTCAGATTCTCCTGGGCTCCGCGGTGATCCGTCTCTGAGGGTATGGGAGGAGGAGCCCTCTGTGTTAGGAGTTGGGGGCTGCGTCTCAGCCTTGGCTTTGTAACCATGGCTGGCAAAAATCAACTGTTGTTCCTCTGCGGTCACGTCCTGCTTCTCTGCTTTCTGCCCTGATGACTGGACCTGCAGTTTTCCCAGGCAGGGCTGTTCAGGGAACTCGCCACTCCTTCACCCCTCCCCCTCCTCCTGCAGTGAGCTCAGGTGGCTGCAGAAGGCAGTTTCTTTATTTCTCCCAGTCCACTGCCCGACAGTCAGGGTTCTGACCTGTGGTAACTCTTATGTGCAGATACCACGCTCAGATGCGCTGATGTGCAGGTTGGGTGTTTTTTGTTGAGTTTTAGGTGTTCAACTTATTGTTGTTTCAAAGGGAGAGATCTATGTTTTTGATAAATTATTTTTTTTATCTGGAACCTTAAAAGATTCTCTCTTTTTATTATTTACAAAATGAGTACTTTAATAGTATTTACCTAAATGTGTACAACATTTCTTTAGTCTAACCTGGAACTCAGCAAGCCTATTCAAATTGCAAACTCAGTCTTTAGAACCAGTTAAATTTTTTCTGTTGCTTGTTTAATTATTACCTGTTCTCTAACTACTCATATTTCTCTTCTCGATTTTTTTTTTGCATATTATAGCTTCTAGATCTGTCTCCTTAGTCTCTTATTTCATAATTTCTACCTCTTTACATTTTTACTTTGTGCTTTGAAGTACTTAATTGCACTTAATTTTAGTCTTTGTAGTGACCAGTAGTTTCTTCAATTAATTTACTCAGTTGTTAGCTTTGGAAATCATGTGTTTTATCTTCATGAAGTCTTGCTTTAGTACTTAAGTCTTCTTATAGGTTTTCGTTATTTTTCTAAATTCAAGTTTTGTTGCTTTTCTCTTCCACAACTTAATTTCACTGTTTGACAGATATTCCTGTTTATAGCTGCTAAACTCTCTAGATGTATATTTATTTTTCAACATTAGCTTCTTGAAACTCAAGTCTGATGTTGGAGAGAAGCTTGTGTCCCATGGGTCAGTGTTGTAGAAGCAGATAGGTCACCAGTCCACTGCAGAGGAACCTGGACCCACAGACTCTTTACTTCTCAAACTTAGTACTCTATCCATCCTGTCTATAACTTCTTGTCCTCTTAGATGCCAGTGAGATCAGGCATAGACTTGTAGGACCGATGCCAACCTCCTCACCTTTTTTCTGCTCCCATTACCAGCAGGAACTCACAGTTCATCTGGGCTAAACTTTCTGTGAAGATGACCTCTAGTCCATACGTAGGGATTAATTCTTATCCTATTAAATAGCCGTGCAAAGAGTGTTCTTTTTCCTGAAAATAAAGGAAATAAAAATCATGTGTTTTTTTTTTAATGTAGGAAAGTTGATAAGTGCTTTTAAAATATACTGAAGTATTTTAAAATTTACATTGTGTTACTTTTTCCTTCACCCTCAAATGGACAACTTATAATTACTCTTTATTATATGTTTATAGGTTAGCATGGCCTCATTGAAAGAATTAGACCAAAGACTCTTTGAAAATTACATTGAGATGAAAGCTGATCCCATCGTTGGCTCCTTAGAACCTGGAATTTATGCAGGCTATTTTGATTGGAAAGACTGCCTGCCTCCAACAGGTAAATGGTATCAAGTTATCAAAGTTCTCTAAAATTAGTCTAATACATCTAGTGTAATAAACATAGATATGCTTTTATCAATTAATAGATGCTTAAAATGCTTTTCTTTTTATTCACATTTTTCTTGTATTTACTAAGGGATTGGTTTGATTTTAACTTTTTATTAGCTTAAACCCATTTCTTGATAATTTGTAACTTAGTACACTTTTTAATTATTAATACTTAATTGCTTAATTATTTTTAAATTCCAGAGAATAATTAATACACTTTATAATATTTGATCATTTTTAGTAATGCATACTTGCTTCCCGTGATTTTTTTTAATTACATTGATATAATAGACTTTTGACAGTTTTATGCAATGACTTTGTGACCGTCATGAAAAAATTAACTTAAAGTATCTGGTCATTCCTATGTAAGACGTAATTATTGATGCTGAAAAGGTGAAGAATAGAAGGAAAATGTGTAGGAATAAGATTAATATAGTAATATAGCAAAGAAAATTGAACTGTAGGAGAATGACTGACACAGTTCCAGTATTATCTTTGCGATATCAAATGACAGTCACTTAAATCACTTTTATCATATATATATTTAAAAATAACCATTGCTTGCTGAATCAAATAAACTTTTTGGTTGCGCAGACAGTTGTTTTTTTGTATGAAGTAGTGTGCAATATATAAAACCAAGTTACCTATTAACATTTTTATATAGAAGTAATCCTATATAGAAATGATCATGTTCCTATTATATAGAAATGATTATAGGTTGTTTTTGGATATATGTGTAGATGCATCAGGGAATCGTTATCAGATTTGAGTTAATCTTCATTCTTTTAACTAAGTATATTAATCACCTTTTGTTTTTATCACGTAATGCTTTTATTAGATGATGATAAAACTGTTTACTTTTTAATGCCTTTGGTTTTTATTGTATAGTATTCACATTAGGTGGTAACAATATAATGATGCCAAAAGTCTAAACTAAAAACCAGAATAATTAAATTAATAATATTTTATATAACACAGGTATTTAATTTTCTGAAATCACAGTCATTAGAGTCATATGAAGTCTTTTGCCTACAGGTGGTCCTCATTGATCTTTTTTCCCCCCTAAACTTTATTACCTTTCTATACAAATACTCTACTGTTTCCAAACTGGATTATAGTTTATATCTCAAATATATTCTCTTAAAGTTTAAATCAGATCCTGGTAGTATCATGCTTAAAATCTTTGCAATACCTTCTCGTTATTCTTACAGTAAAATCTGCAAAGCAGTTTAGTGCTGGCCCCTGCCTGGTGCCATGGCACACCACCACCATCCACCACTGTTCCCATTGGCTCTATCCAGCTGTGCTTCAGCACATTGGATTTTTTTTGTTGCCTAAACCTTCCAAATCCTTCTAACTCAGGGCCTCTTCAAAATTGTTTTTTCCTTTGCTTAGACAATAATTCTTCCTTATCTTCATAGGACTTTTGACATTCAGGTCTCAACTTAAATATCACTACACCAGTCACCCAATCTGAAGAAATAACATGGCCAATGAAGAATATGCATGGTACTTTAGATTTAACCTATGAAGCTACCTCATATTCTATTTGTAAAATAATTATTTCAAGGGAGAATGCCTACATGTGGTTCCTGCACTGGTCATTATTATACTGGTTGAGCTTATTAAAGCTAAATCGATAAGGTCATAGTTAGTGGGTTAATTATCACAAGGTTGTTGATAAAATTGACCTTCTGTGATAAGCATAGTTTATGACTTTAAGTGAACAAACATGACTTTCAACAAGAAATTATCATTCTTTTTCCCAAGATCATCAGTTAACAGCCTCTGGAACTTTTGATCTCTTATCTCTTTTCAAAATTCTTGAGCCCAGATGACTTTTGAAATTTCAGTATTTTGGGACTTTTCTTCTTTTTCATAACCTTGTACTATAGCCTGGTATTTTCAGGACTGTCTCTATCATTGGTAGTCCTATCTCAAACTTTTTCTGAGTCATCACCTTCAGCATCTCTCTCTGTAGCCTAATCTCTGTACACTGAGCTTCAGATCTTTTTATCTACCTTCCTAGCAGATGCCTCTAACATCTGCTGGAACATTCCTGAGGCCACATCAGCTTAGCAAGTCCAAAAGCAAACTCATCATCTTCTCTTTCTCCCCAACTCCAAATCAGTTGTTTCTGCTGCTGTACCTCAACTCAATGTGAAGGGTGGAGATGTCAACCAGGATTCCTCTTACTCCTCTAGTTCCATCAGAGATCTAGTTACAAGTGCCACTTCCTTGTCTCCATTCCTATTCTGTTCCCTATCATTTTTCATTTTTTCTTACCAAGACATTCAAGTGTCTCCTTATAGTCCCAGCACTCAAGACTTGCCTGTTTCATATCTATGTCCGCCTCTATGAGAAGCTCATCTTTCTAAAATATAAATTGGATTTGTCATTCCCCTGCTTAAAACCCGTCAGGATGACTCATTCTTCCTCAGCTAAAACCTAAACTTCTTAGACATTGCTCATGCTTATACTTGCTCATGACTGTCCTTTATTTCCCTCACTCACCTCCTCTCAACCTCTCATGCCGGCCTCTAGGCAGCAGGCAGTCAGAACCACTTCATTGTTGAAAGCCCATACCTGCTCCACTCTCTCTCTTTCCTTATACTTAGGTGCTTCTTCCTGGGGAGCTTTCCCTGCTCACCTCCCCATGTGCATCCAAGTTGGGTTAGTATTCCTTCATCTTTAGTGCCTCTGCAGTGGTTTTCTGTTCTTTGCATCACCCTTGCATGTAGGTACTATCATCATCTGCTTTCTGGTCTCTTCTGCTGTGCTGGGTCTTCCTGGCACAGGGGCTATCTTTTTCATGTCTGCACTCCCAGTGTTTAGCACAGTCTCAGCATAGATAAGATACTCTGTTTGTTTGTGGAGTGAATGAAGACAGGTAGTTTACTAGTATGTGTTACATGCTATTGAGACTGCTCAGACACCTGGCGACCCTGTGAATGAGTGATGTCCACGATGTCCTCTCCTCAGCAGCCCTGCTCAGCTCCTACAGATGCATGTTTATGGCTTCTTTTATATTTGGTCTTCTCTTATATTTGGTCTTCCTCTTTTCCTGCTGGCTTCTATTTTTCCATCATTATTGTCTTTTCCAAAGAATCCTGCCTTCTCATGATGTGCCTGAAGTAGGACAGCTTCAGTTTTGTCATTTTTGTCTCTAGCAATGTTTCAGGCTTAATTTGTTCTAGGACCCACTTGCTCATCTTTCTGGCCATTCACAGTATCTGCAGAGCTCTCCTCCAATGCCATCTGTCATATGAATCAACTTTTTTCCTATCAGCCTTCTTCACTGTCCAATTTTCACATCCATAGATAGTAATTGGGAAACGAGGGTGTGAATGATCTTAGCCTTGGTCTCTAATGACACATCTTTACTCTTGGTGATCTTTCCTAATTCTTCCATTGCTGACCTTCCAAGTCATAGCTTTCTTTTGATTATTTTTATTTATTAGTATACAGTCTTAAAATGTGCAAGCCACTCTTCAGTTTATCTTCCAGTTTTGCAGTTGTGATTTTCAAATTTTTTTCAATAAGAAAGTAAATCATATTACGTCTAGTTTCCATTCTTATTCACTTTTTAATAAATAGCGTACAGTGGATATCCATATTTGTTGAATCGAATTACATTGAATTAAAATGATTATATTAGGACTCATTTTCTTGTTTTGGGAATTTCCATATGGTAGATTTGTACACACCTAAATTTTGAGCAATTGCATTTGAATTAAATTGTAAGTGTCATGTATACCCAGTATATCAGCAGTTGTATTTGGCATTGCCATGTAAAAAGTAACATATTGCTCAGGGATAGTTTAAATTATTTTAGCAAAATTAATATTTTCTTCAATTATTAGCATGTATTGAACATAACTATTAGCACTGACATTATTCTTAAATTATTTGGTGTATCTTTTAAAGGTTATCAAATTACTTATGTTTCTGTGAGAACAGGAAAAATTGTGACACAGCTACTGAAAATTTTCTCTGTGTTTAATGGTTATTACAGCAAATAAGACTTGGTCACTAGGCTTCAGTCTTCATGAACAGTTGCTCATATCTGTCTCCATTTAAACTCTAGTTGTTACTGGGAAACACAATTTACTTATGAATGATGAAGAGGAAGGCTCTCTTCTCTTTCTCCCACCATCCTTGACTTGCAACTTTCCCCAACAGTCAGGAATCTTTAATGCACACTGAAGACCGGCAACAGCAGTGACAGCATTCCTGGTGGGGTGGGATGCAGGCTTACTTTCTTATCAGTTCATCTCTGTAAGGGGTGTCTTTGGGAAAAAGCAGTGCAGGAGATCTTTTCCTCCCTTAAGGGGCACAGTCAGGTCACAGTACTTCAGAGGCCATTACTACTGACTATTGTTACACCATGGTGGACCCTAGGACAAGGCCTCAGTGAGGATATCCTCATATTTCCTCAGCTATGAAATTGAACTAGTACAAGCCATTGATGTAAGTAATAATGGTTTGTTATCTCTGGATAATTTTTTTAAAACAAAATTAGTATTTTGCTATCAGTGTGACATCGAGTGATATGGCCTTTTACCTAGCTCTTTTTTCTTTTTAAAGATAAACATCATTTAGGAGCAGATGGCACATGGCACTGCAATGTCAGCAATACTCTTTCTCAGATTCCAAAAACGCTTAGTTATTGTCAGTATTCATTTCACTTTTATAAACTGTATCACTAACTGAACTTAGTCTTGCATAGTCATATAGTGATTTTTAGTTTGTTGAGAGTTGACTTGAGACCTCATGTAAAGTGAGCAGCTAAAATAGTTTGACTATTAATCTTCCCGAATAATTTCAATTAACAACTTTAGTATTATCTTTAAAGTTTTCATCTCCAAAAACTAAATTTTTTAAATCATATAGGTAACCGATTACTTATTGCTTAAGTTAGCAATAGTTTCTGATTATGTAGTAATTTTT